CCTCTTTTGGAGTAGTGCTGCTCCAAATGTCCTTCTGATGCACTTCAGCCTTCTGGCAGAACTTGTCCATGCGTAACCTTGTAGGACAAGGGGAAGCTGCCATCGCAATAGTAACAGATCTGCATCTGCTTCAGCCTGGACTTGTTGGCATGCCTCAGACCGTGACAGTCTGAGACCAAGTGGAGTCTGTCTCCGTGCTCCGACATCACGAAACTTCTTCTGAGACGTCTGTACTGCCCATTCTGGGCACTTTCCAAGGCTGCCCGCAAATCCGGGTCATCAACCGCTCTTGTAGTAGACGCTGTACTGGAAGTAGCCTGCGCAGAACCGACAGTCCTCGTAGGGTCCGCTGCACAAGACGCAACCGGTGCAGCGCTGCTCGCCGTAGTGGTTCCCAGAGGCTCCTGTGGCATCATTCCAGGGGCTGTCTTCGCTACCTGGGGCTTTCCCTCGAACATTGGATCCGAGGAACTCGCGCTCGTCATCGATGCCAACTCCTCTTGCAAAGCCTTCGTAGCCTGGTTCCGGATCTTCAGCAAACGACGAGCTTTCGCAATCGTCGCTTCATCGTCACCAAAGAACTTGCTAGCTGCCCACTTCAGCAACTCCCAGACTCCAAGCAACGCCATTCCAGCCACCAACAGCATGCCATAGAACTCAAAGCTACCATCATAGTCCAGCGGCTTCTTGCTGTACACTTCTGCTGTGTCTGCTCGTGGGATCCTTGAAACCATCATCATCCAGACGAACATCCGAAGCAAATCGTAATAGTCCGGACCCTGTAGTGACCTGATTATCACTTCGCCTTCATCCTTCTCAAAGTCCTCCGCCGAGCACATACCCCACAATCTCCTCAAGTCTTGAAGCCTTGACACCGGAACCGGCTTCGTTCCCATGTCTGCGACCTGCACTTCACCCGGTGTATGCTCCACCACAATCCGGCCTTCGTTGGTCTCCATCCTGAGGTGCCTTGCTTTGACCTTGAGGTGTCTGGTCTTCCACGAACCAGGTGAGGTAGTAGCCAAACCACAGGCCGCGGTATTGTCCACCTTGAGTACCACTGGCTCTTCTGCGTCCTCACTGGATACTTCATTCACCCATGCTTGAAGGCCCGCAGCTTGTTGGCTTGCATTCAACAACTCTACCAACTCAGCCTCCGCCGCCGACAAAGCTATCGTCGGCTGCTTTGTCATCCTCCAAGCTGCAAACCCACCATAGGTTGCTGTAGTGACACACCCAAAACTTCGATCTCCTTGGGGTGCAAAGCTCGCGTCCGAGTACGCAACCACTGGGTCACCTTGTCCATTGTAGCACAAACCCCACGTGGTAGTGGACGCCAAATACCTCATAGTCATCTTGGCAAGGCGAATGGCTGCTGCTGGGTCCTTTGTAGCTGCGCTACACACATGGGCTGTTGCAAATCCCACATCTGGGCGTGTACGGGTAACTAACCACAACAACTCTCCAGCCATCTTTTGTGCCTGCCTCACCAAATCATCATCCACTGGCATCACCTCTGTGACCTCGGACTCATCACTTTGTGGCATCACCTCTTTGGTTGCCGGGACATGTGCAGGCCTTGCCATTTCATCTGGATAACTCCGGAGGAGCTCCGTCACATAGCTGCCTTGTGAGATGTGGAAGTTGGTGATGCCCTCCTTCTCCTTTCGTCTCACATCCATGCCCAAATAGCGAACTGGATCCTTTCCCAGCCACTCCAAAGGCGAGCACTTCCATCCTTCATCTCCCTCTGTGCCCTCTGTAATCCACTGGTACATCACCTTGATCACCTCCACGGGGCCCAACATCATGGCATCGTCCACATACACAATCATGAGGGCCAATGTCTCGGACTCGCAGCCCACTTCAACCAAACGCCAAACCGCAGGATCCGTCTCCATCTGCAAGAAAACGCACTGCTTGTCTCCCACCTTGAGCTTAGCCCGGCTGATGCGGCGATCTCGAAAGCTTCCCCACAGCCTTGGCGCCTCCCTCAGGCCGTAGAGAACGCGGTCTACCAGGTAAGCGGTTTGTGATGGGGCGCAACCTGCATCAACCACCACCTTTGGCATAGTGATCGCATAGCGGACCTTTGACTCTGTCATAGGAGTGAGGGTAAAGGCTGAGTTCACATCCGTGACCGCACCATGCCACCTCTTTTTCGCCCCGTATGACAACGAGCACCTCACACTCTCTGCATTGGCTGAGGCCGTATACACCTCCACCTCATTGTGAATGTAGTTTCCACAAATCACAATCCTCGAGCGCCTCTTGAACAGTCCATCGCCTTCACCAGGAGGTTTCGCTGTATGCACCGTCTTTGCTGGAACCAAGACCAGTTCCCCTTTCGACGCCTTCTCCTTTGCCTCTTGGAGAGGCATGGCACGCAAAGTCCCAGACCCCTCGAGCGTCTGGACCTCCTTTGCTATGCTTGGCGTCCATTCTTGTAAGTGCCTTTTGACCTCCTGGAGATCGACTGTGTGGACGGTTTCCAAAGGCTTATCCAGAGAACGCAACATCTCTTCCACATTCTCCGTGGCGCTGTGGCCCACCGCCATTCTCATCAAGTTCACCCGGTTCTGTTGCCTCGTGTTGTCGCTGACCGCCAGGAGCTCGTTCATGTAGTCAATGGCCTCATCCAGCTTGTAAAACATCTGGCGCTCCCTTTGGTTCGCGTACTCACCGCGAGACTCCTTGGCTCGGCGAACTTGTCTTTCCTCCTCCACCAGGTCCGACAGCCAGGACACCCTCCTCCTCAAGTGCTCCTCCTCATCGTGACCCAAGGGCATCAACGGAGTAGAGGTCATCACCACGTTCTCCTGGCTTCCCTCCGGGCAGTATCTTATCGCCCAGCGAAGCCTCAGCTCGATCCTCCCTCCTGGGAGAACTGTAGTGTCCATCCTCTCGCCTGCCAGCTCCGGGAAACTCTCTGGGCGTCTTCCTGAGCTCGCCGATGAACTTGAAACTGGACCCATTGGCGCTGTCCCTGAGCTCACCTCCATGCCTTCTTCGGTGGGGGGTCTTTGCAACGTCGATTCGCTGGAAGATCCCGGTCCCAAGAAACTGGAGCCCGACACCGCCGTAGTCCCCGTTGGTGGCACCATTGTAGATCCCTCTCCTGAGTCCATGGGGATTGGCGGCGCAGGTGGCCTGGGCTTCGCATGTCCAAACATCCTCAACTGCGGCTCTCGGTCTGGAAGCTGAAAACCCAACTCCATGAGATCCTCACATTGGTGGTCATACAGTTTCTCCCACTTGCTGACCGTGTAGCCAATGACAACCACACGATCACCCTCTTCACCCTTCAAAGGCGCGTGCAGCCTGTCTGGACGCACCGTTGTAGGTTTTTCCACACTGAACAGCTGTCCCGGGACCTCCTTTTCTTTGAACCACATAGCCTTGTACTTTCCATAAAACTCGTCACCGGGCTTCATTTCCTGCCACACACAGCTTCCCTTGGAAACCTTGAGGGGCGAAACCAGGTTCACAGTAGACTTCAAGTTGAAGGAATCCTTGTGAAGCGGCATAGTGGCGTTCTTCACCAAAGCCACCGATGTGAAGACCTTCCCCGGATGATCTAGCTTCAACAGACTTGTAGCCAGCTCCGCCTCGTGTGAAAACCTCTCTGTTGCCACTGTAAGACTAGTGATCCCGCCGTGCTGGTAGGCTCCGAGATTCACATACGCTGCGCCTTCCCAAGCCTCACCCTCTTTCATCTGTGGCCTCTCGATCTTTGCCTCGGGCGAACTCCATATCGAGGATGACAGCAACTTGTCTACCAGAGCCTTGCGGCTCTTCACATCTATCGCCCTAATCTCTGGGTCCGTGAGCTTGGTTTTCCTTCTTAACCTCCGGGTAGGCTCCACAAGGTCCACGACAAACTCCTCTTCATCGTCGTCTTCGACCTCATCATCTCGCACCATTCTCATGTGCAAGGTGCGTAGCCATAACCCATCGTCCAGCCGAACCACATGCCCTTCACGGACATCATCTGCTGGGCCCATGTACACACCACGCTCCCACTTTGGGTCAAATGGTCCACGATCCTTCTTAGACTTCACCCACACCACAGCTCCAAACTTGATGTCCGGGGCCTTCTCTCCAAGCTCTCGGGCATTGTGCAGCTTGCAAGCATGCTTCATTGCACACGGCCAAAGCTCTTTGTCCAGCCCTGCGTCATTGAGGTGAAGCCTTGCTTTTCCCTTCAACCACTTCACATGACTCTCGGCCGTGGCGTTCTGCGCGGGCGCTAAGCCCTCAGTGTACGTCTGGTAGATGTCTCGTTCACGACACCATCGCCTCAACGGCTTCACTCTGAACTCTCTCGCCCGATCTGAGTGTAGCCGCACCAACGGCAGACCCAACGCACGAAGACGTATGTGCAACTCCTGCACCGCTTCAAGCACTTCCTTGCCGCTGTGGCGCTCCAACGGGATCGCGAAACGTAGAGCCTGCATCTCAATCGGCTTTTTCAGGTCCTCTATCTTTCTTTTCCATTCTTCTTCTTGGGCATCCGCACTTGGGTCCTCCGGACCTTGCTCACCATCCTCTGGTTGATCCTCCTCCTCAACGAGGAACTTCTCCGCCTCCTCCTCATCCGGGATAGGAGCATCCTCTGGTACATCTCTAACCTTGGGGTACAGGTAAGTGCAGGGGGCTCTGATTCAGGCTCTGATGTCACAGCTGGCCGGCATCCGGTTCGATTCGAACCGCAGCCTGGCCGAGCAGATCGTGAAGTACGAGGAGCTCATCAAGGAGTACGAGCGGGTGTCTGGTGGCACCTACCCCGACGATCTGCGCATAAGCTCTGTCATCCAGGCTGCCCCCACCAACTTGCAGACCCAGCTCCACCTGACGATGGACGAGAGCACCGACTACAAGGCCATCCGCGAGAAGCTGTTGGCCTACCAGAGGGCCAGCGCACGCTGGCAACCTTCTTCCGGCTTCGCCCTCCGGCTGTGACCACCCAGGGCGCGCTCAACCAAGGCGGCCCCACCGACATGGAGATCGACCGCGTGGAGAAGGGCAAGGGCGGCCACAAGGGAGGCAAGCAAGGATGCCACAAAGGGAAGAAGGGAGAGAAAGGAAAAGGAAAGGGCAAGGAGAAAGGTGGCAAGGGCAAGAAGGGCGGCAAGGGCGGACCACCGGGCGGCTGCTACAACTGTGGTGGGCGACACTTTGTCCGGGACTGCCCCAAGGGCAAGGGCAAACGCAAGAACGTGAACCAGGTGAACCGGGACCAGCCCACAGCAACAGCGCCGCCAGCGAACAACACCTCCCCGACGACGCCGGCCCCAACGACAACGAGACCTACTCAGCCACCAACAAATTCGGTACGGCGAGTGCCCCTCCGGACGCAAACACCACCTATGTCTTCGGACAACGACGTGGTGGCGGACTTCTACGACGACTTCCTGGAGGAGCCGGCCGTGCGAGCTGTGAGTGTTCGTTCGCAGCCCCGCCATAATGCTCACCACCGACGCCCAGGGCAACGAGGCCCTGCGGCGGTGCGAGACCACCGCGGCCAGAGCTTCATCATCAAGGAGACCTGCGTGGTTGGACGGGTGCGGGTGCCGCTTCTGGTGGCAGGGAAGCTGCTGAAGCTGGTCTCGGAAGAGGACCCCAGCTCTACAGGAGGAGCCGGGCCAAGAAGCATGATCCTGCGATCGCCGGCCGGCCTCCCCGCACCCGTGGCCTTCAAGCACAACTCTTTGGTCGTGCAGGGCGAGTTCCCCGGAGCCTCCCGCCAAAGGTGCCCAATTTGACCATTTCGGCGGAGATGGAGGTCTTGGTGGGGAACGGGCATGCACGTGCTGGGGAATGGCATCAAGATGCACTACCAGGCGGCCGCGCCCAACTTGCTCGACCCCCGGCCGTGTACGACGCGACCCTCTACAACCAGCACGGGCTGAGCGGCCGTTAGATGCTCAGCGGCTGTTCGGGGCTGAGCGGCTGTTAGATTTGACCTGCCCGGCAGGGCCATCGGTTATACCCAAATTCTTCGCCAATTTAACAGGGCTCGGGCCCAATATGCATCCGCGGTACATGCGTCTGAAAACTTTGGGTGGAGGCGTCGGTTGGGTTTCGTTTTGTTCGGGCCATCGTCAGTATACAGTTTGACGACCATGCGCGGCTGTTCAGCCGATGTGCAGAAACAAAAGCAAAAATAACTGTATAGACGACACCATTCACATTTCGTAGGTGTATTAGCAAATGATCTAAATATTCGCACAGGCATAATTTATACACGTATACACAGATGCATTCATACAAATATGCACACGCACATACATATACATATACACATACACATACATATACATGTACATATACATGTACATATACATATACATATACATATACATATACATATACATATACATATACATGTACATGCACCGACGTACTTACACACACATACGTTATACAGAGCATGCAATTTCACACATGCAATTACATAAACACATACATACATACACACACACATATATATACATATACATACACATATACATATATACATATATACATATATAAGCAATATATACACATATATACACATATATAATACACATATACACATATACATATATGCGTTTTTTCATATATGCATATTTACATATTCATATTTATTTTAGCATACCAACACATGCTACATCTAAACATATATATATATATATATACACATACATATATATATATATATATATATATATATACACATAATATACATATACCTATATGCACGTATGCACACGTACGTACATAAGCATACACATGTATATAATAGATGTGCGCATGCATATACACAGACATACAAATATATATATATATATATATATATATATATATATGCATATGCACATACAATCATACGAACATACAGTCATATATACATATACCTAAAGCTATATACGTATATACATATATACGCAACCATGCCCACGGACATAGAAATATATATATATGGACACACCCCCCCCCATGACCTACCTCGGCCTCTTTTCCATTGTAAATACCGTCAAAACCTTCTCTTGGCAGGGATTCGCGTTTGGCATACGATTCGTGTTTTGCGTAATTTTCGGGGATGATACCTTCTCTATCATGGCTGATGTGAAGTCATGTCTCTTTACAACGTCGTGCCTACTCATGTCCGCTTTCAAATTCATATGCCTGTATTCATAAGCAAGAAACATTAAAAGAAACCATACGATACGACGGCGGAAACCAAAAAACCAAAAATCCAAAAATCCAAAGCCTTTCTGAGGGGCCCGAAACTTTTGGATTTTTTGGTTTTCCTAGGTCTTTTTTGGTTTTTTGGGCTTTGCCTTGGCGAAACCATGGCTTTTTTTTGGATTTTCGGTGGAAAACCAAAAAAACACAAGGTTTTTTTGGTTTTTCTGCTGTGTCTCTCGTGAAAAACCAAAAAACACCTGTGTTTTTTTGGATTTCTGCTGGAAAACCAAAAAAAACCTTGGATTTTTTGGATTTCTGCTGGAAAACCAAAAAAACCTTGGATTTTTTTGGTTTTCTGTTGGAAAACCAAAAAAACCCTAGGAAAACCAAAAAATCCAAAAGTTTCGACCCCCCTGACAAAGGTTTTGGATTTTTGGTTTTTTGGTTTTTTGGATTTTTGGTTCTCGGAGCCTTAGAGCCAATACAGCGCGCAGCATGCTTGATCGGAAATGGTTTCGTTGTTTACGCGCAGTAGTTTTCAGATGTGCATTAGGCATTAGTGTTAGTATTAGTATCTGCATTCTAGCGTGTTGATTCGTGTTACTGTTAGTGTTGGTGTCAGTGTCAATGTCAATTCCAATGTCAGCGTTAGTATTAGTCTGAATATAAGTCTATACAATAGGTGTACTAATGGTAGTGTTAATGTCTAGTGTGAGTTTTAGTATTCGTATTAGTCTTGGTCTTAGTCTCTGCCTTATTCTTAGTGTTAATATTAACCAGTGTATAGTCTCATAGTCTATGGTAACATTGGAATAGTAGTATACGAGTATATTATTTATTGGTATGTGAAAATACAGATTCTTTGGTACATTGATGTGTCTGTTTTTTGTATTTGGTTTGAACGTGATTATTAGTATTCGTAGGAGCATTAATATTGTAGTATCAATAGCAGTATCGCTGTTCATACTATGCATAATCGTATTATCTGGAGTATCAAGTGGTAATACTGCTATTCATGTTAGTGTAGGTTTTTTAATGTGAATATAAATACTGAGAATAATTAATAAGACTATGCGCATTAATCTGCGGAGGAACTGTATCACTTATGTGCATATTAGTATTAATGTTAGCATTTGCGTGTATATTGGTAACAAATAAAAAATAAAATTACTATCAATATGGGTATGTTTTTTAATATTCGTAGGAACACTAGTATTCATATTAGTATCGGTATTACTGAAAGTACCCGTCTTCGTAAAAGTATTTGTAATCATACTAATTCATATCAGTACGAGTATTAAGATGAATTATGATGCGCATATGAATACTTTCGAAGGAAATGCTGACCTTAATACGAATACCCATATTAATGTCCTATTATGTATAATCGCAGTAGCCTGAGTATTGGTATGAATATTCGGACAAGTATTAGTATTCCAAACAACTAGTACTATTAGTATTCATATTGAGAACAGTTAATAAGAATATGCGTATTAGTATCCTCAGGAGTGTTAATATTCCCATCAGCACTACTATTCGAATTAGTAGTGCAATTTTTAATACTAGTATTAACCATTAAGCCTATTATGTTATGAACAGTAATATCCTTATTCGTAGGAATAGAAATCTTAGTATCAGTATTAGTATTCGCACTAGTAATAGCTATTATACACATTGGCGCATGAGTAACCTAAGAGCTTCACACAGAATAAACATGTGTGCACATGTAACCCTCATTACGATCCTAGGTAGGATGCACACATCGTTCTGTTTTGGTCCCGTCTTTGGGTTATGCCTATGAGTACATGAACAAAATTAAAAACAGACAATGACAAACACAAAGTTACCCGGCGCATCTAACGATCTTACGTAGCATGTAGACACTGTTCTGTCTTGGTCCTGTCTTCGGGTTATGCCTATGGTCATTATATGACCAGAGTTATGAATATCCGGAACATTTAGGCACTATCCTATTAAACAATTGCAGGCATTGAAGCTTGCCCAAATCCGCCAACGGCGATGTCGCGCCGTCGTAGGTCATTACAGTGTATTCAGCTATTGATTATACACGATATACGTTTCCATTGTTTATGTATGAGTGTATTTTATCCTAATGGTTTCCTCAAATCCTTACATGTTCTACTACCCATTGCTAGCCGAAGCACCTCGCGGTAGGTCTTGGGGGGGGGTGTGAGCATATATATATATATATATATATGTAATAGAGATTGTTGATCGATAGGAGTGGGAAATGAATTCAAATTAGGTCTTCAATGAATGAAGGAGATCAGGTGAGCATTGATCGGGGATCCGCGGGCCGACGCGGATGTTGCCAAATCGCATATGCTTGCATATGCCTTGCAGTCACTGCGCAGATGCATTCGGATTTTGTCATTGATTGCGACATTTGGGGTTCGAGAAGTACACAGGATCATTATCGCAGGCATGGTCTGTATATTGGGAACTTACAATGCATTGTCATTGAGATTCGCACACTTTCGGGATATACAACAACTTAAATTGTTCTTTCCGTATATAAGGTTTTATCCTTCTTCACGGGGCCATGGCGGATACGCTCACTCGAGACCAAAGGGTTGAGCGGTTGGCAGAGCTTCTGCATGAGAACTTGGTTGAAGGACAGATGGACAGAATACGCCAATCCGGGTCTTTGGCCCCTACATGCAGTTTGAGACACCGCCGAACAAGGGAGTGTTTCAAATTCGTCCATGAGCTTGATGAAGGGCGCTGGTTCACCCATCACATGGTTCGAGACGCAGTGGTGCTGCTGCTGAAAAATCACCCCCTGGAACTTCCCAGCATCCCGGGGCACTCGGAGCAGAAATGGGTAACGGAAACCGTCGAAGTGCTACTGAAACTCCTTCAGCGAGCCAAGAAAACGAAACCGGGATCCAGTGCTTCTACGGACGACGCCATGGATAACGCCGAGACACAGGTTCTGGATATGAATGAGGAGGGGCTCTATTTTTTCTCGTTTCTTGTTTGAGCTGTCGTGTGCCCCTTTCGAATTTTTTGTCTAAACCGATTTTGATTGGAGGACTCGCAGGTGCTGGTGTATGAGAACGAGCCCAGCGAGGTTCCCACTGCTCCGGTGAGACAGCTCATTTTCCCTAGGGCTCTTTATATGGCCTTCTGTTTTTTGTTAGCCCGCAGCCCTAACCCAACAACCAACAAATTATTGTAACCTCAGGCTTCGTCAATGGTGCACAAACGATCCTCGGGTGATCTGAGTGTGCCTTGCCGGCAATGGCTACATCATGTCATTACTAAGCAGGTGCTTGGAAAAGTTTATAGGATTGTAAGTAAGGTCGGGGAAATCCAGCCGCCGCGACGCCTGAGGGCGAAGACGTGACTTGAACCTATAATTGCATAAGCTGAATGCAAATCTAAGCTTGTGGGCTTGATTATGGTTTCGAGGCCGAGCCAAATTTGCATTCCAGACATGGAAGATGCCACTTGTCAGGACTTTAGACAGTGTTAGCGCACCATCAAGTTTATGTATGACATATGCACTCATTCAGGTTGCTGATGATGAACAAAATGAGTGGGATGAATGGGATGAGAATTATGG